AAAAAAAATAGCCGGGCATTGTGGTGGGCGCCTGTAGTCCCAGCTACTCAGGAGGCTGAGGTAAGAGAATCACTTAAGCTCAAGAGTTGGAGGTTGCTATGAGCTGTGACGCCACAGCACTCTACCCAGGGCAACAATTTGAAACTCTGTCTCAAAAAAAAAAAAAAAAGAAGCCATTGATAATTGTTCACTCATCAGTTTCTGTTCTTTGAAAGTGTGAATTGAATTTTCAATTTCTCCCATTTCGCTGAGCTTTTCAGAAAAGTCAGGTATAGGCTTCACATCTTTTATTATGTATGCTGGCCCATTGGTGGTGGATTTTTCCTCTGATTTTTCAGCTGTTCTGCTGTGTGTATGAATTCTGCTTTTTTAGTTCAACTGATTTTCTGCTTCCTTTGAAGCTGAAAAGGATAATTCTACCTGAAGTACAAAAGGTTGGGAAGAATGAAGAATAAAAATATAGGACCAACAGACCACTTTTGCACATCCCACATATGGCTAGTCCAACCTGGGATCCAATATGGAATGTGTGGAATGCAGGGGTCCTTTGGGAATCTTTTTTTTGGGGGCTTCTGTACAAGTTTCAGAGTAACAGATTTTATTTAGAAAGAACAGATTTTATTTAGAAAGAACAAAGCATTTCTAAAGAGAATTAGAAGTGGGTCCCTCTCATGAAGAACAGGTGAGAGACCAAACTTTGACTTCTTTAGCAGTAGGGGAATTTGTTTCCTCACAAAACATTCTACTTTTCAATAATTCTAAGGGTTAAAAGTTACCTTGATTTGAAAATTATCTCCTTACAGAATGTAAATTGGTGTTTTTGCCAGGAGCTTGGTAGAGGGGAGAATTGGTAAGATAGTACTCAATTAGTAAGGGGTTATACTTTTTGTTGTGATGAAAATGTTTTGGAACTAAATACCACTGAATTGTTTGCTTTAAATGCTTAATTCTGGCTCGGTGCCCATAGCACAGTGGCCCATAGCACCAGCCACATACATCAAGGCTGGCAGGTTCGAATCCAGCCCCGACCAGTTAAACAAAACAACTGCAACAGAAAATAGCTGATTGTTGTGGGCACCTGTAGTCCCAACTACTTGGGAGACTGAGGCAAGAGAATCACTAAAGCCCAAGAGTTGGAGGTTGCTGTGAGCTATGTTGCTATGGCACTCAACCAAGGGTGACAGAGAGAGACTTTGTCTCAAAAAATAAAAATAAAAAATGGTTAATTCTGTTTTGTGTAAATTTCACCTCAATACCTTTTGTTAATTATTTCCTTTAATCCAGAGGGCCTAGCTCTTGCACATACATAAATGATAAACCTTTTAGGGTCACAGCTAGCGATCTTCTTGAGATTTTAGTAATAAAATTTTGAAGTAATAGACTATGTTATGGGTATGACTAGCTAGATGGTTTGATCAGGTTGTATTCGTAGGAAAAAATACACTCTAGTTAAAGTAAAAAATTATTTGTTTCATTGTATTAAATGGCTTACAACTAAGAAGGCAGAAAAAACAGATTCTAGCCTGAGCTTTCCGAAACACCCCTGAAAGCTACCTACCATCAGGGCTGCTGTTTTTATTATAATCAGAAAGCTACCTGTAGAATCTCCTCTAGAATACCAGACTGTTAATCCTTTAGCCTCACCACCAAAATAGATGCCCGGTGCAAGGTTATTCCCTCACTTATCTCAGTACTGAATTCAGATCTTCTGTGAGTGAATCTGATTGGCAGAACCTAATCACATCTGAAATCTTAGCTACCGAGAAGTCTGAAAAATACAGTTTGAATTTCAGAGCCTCTACTGAGAAAGAGACGGAGGAGAAACTAGAAGGAAGTTACAATAGGTGTTTAGGCAAAGGAATCCATAGTTTCTACCACAAACCTTCTGGTTCTAATGTTAGATTTCCATGTTTTCTAGCATTGCAATGGACATTTTGGTTTCTTACTCTATTGTATTTCACTCTCCTCAACATAGATTAAAAAGAGATCCAGGACAAGATGGGTAGTGAGATTGTCTCCTTCGTTCATACTTCAAAAAGAAATTCTTGGCTGGGCATGGTGGTTCATGCCTATAATAATCCTAGCATTTGGGGAGCCCAGGCAGGAGGATTGCCTGAGGCCAGGTGTTGAACCAACTTGGGCAACACAGCATGACCCTAAAAAATATTTCAAAAATTAGCCAAGTGTGGTGGCATGGCCATTAGTCCCAGGTACTCAGGAGGCTGAGGTGGGAGGATTGCTTGAGCCAGGGGAGTTGGAGGTTGCAGTGAGCTATGATGACACCATTGCACGCTAGTTTGGCCTACAGAGTGAGACTGTATCTCAAAAAAAAAAAGAAAAAAATCTTTGTGAATTTTGTCTTTGCTTGAACTTATTAAGAACTTAATTTGATAACCTTAAAGGTTAATGACTTTGCTAGTAGTTTTGCATCTCTTTGGTTAAACATAGTTCTGGATTATCTCCAAAGATGTTGGTAATTCTCAGGCTGTGAACCTGCTTTCTCTAATCCAAACTAGAGGTTTTATATCAGCTTTAAACTTTTTTGTTCTTGTCCTTTATGAAATGATTATTGAATACGGCCTCAGATTGTTACGGCTCAGAACTTTTTTTCTGTATGGAGATCAGCTAACACAACTAGATACATGTAGCACCTGCTACCTCTCAATTTATCTTCAGTTTTGCTTTGTAAAACAAATGTCAGAAACAGAATTTTTTGTGAGAATATTCCACATGACGTAATGAAAACTGAAATTTTCCCACACAACTTTTATATTATCTTGACTTTATATGAAGCTGTTAATTCTGACTTTTGAAACTAGCATATATTTTGCAAACTAGATTTATCTTTTGCCAGGTTCCTCCTGGATGAAGAAGGATCAGCCCACCTTCACCCTCCGACAAGTTGGAATAATCTGTGAACGTCTTCTTAAGGACTATGAGGACAAGATCCGGGAGGAGTATGAACAGGTCCTCAATACCAAACTAGCAGGTGCGTGGAGGCAGCAGCTGCTGTGTTAGATTGGGCTCTGCAGGATGGTTTGAGTATTAAATAAAGTTAGTATTTGGTGATTGTAAACTAGTCATTTATACCTTACAGAAGTACTTTTCATTTGCATTCCTGCAATGAGATTAGGCAAGCTCTTATAAGAAGTTTCTATATGAATAAAGGTATGAACAGGCCATTGAGGCTAGCTGGCAGGTAGCTAGCAGGTTGGGATATGGCGATAACCATTCAACAACTATTTGAGTGGAGTGTTGCCAACATTCTCAAACTTCCTTCTGAGAGTAACTTTGTGGATGAGAGGGGTGTTGGACATTCTGTGATTTGGGAGGTATGATAGGGTAAAGCAAGACTAGCTCAGGCTAGAGCAAAGGTAGTGATCAGTGATGGCAACAAGTAGAGCCCTCTGTGGAAGGAAGGGATCTAAATCAGAAACAGAAAGGAATACCTGTTGAGTGAAAGAGGACAGTGTTCCACATTAAACCCTGCTGTATGTTGAGCACAGATCTCATCGTAGTCCTCTTCTGATTAAAGTCCTTAACTGTAGCCTGTCATTAACGGTATACAGTTCAAGATCTGTTGCTTAGGGTGTTGATGTGAGTAGTTATACCTATAATCCCAGCACTCTGGGAGGCTGAGGCGGGAGGATTGCTTGAGGTCAGGAGTTCAAGACCAGCCTGAGCAAAAACAAGACCCTGTCTCTACTAAAAATAGAAAAAATAAATAAAAACAGCTGCCTGTGGTCCCAGCTACTGGGGAGGCTTAGGCAAGAGGATCACTTGAGCCCAAGAGTTTGAGGTATGAGGTTGCTGTGAGCTATGATGACGCCCTGTCAGTCTAGTTGGGCAACAGGGTACGACTCTTGTCAAAAAAAAGAAGAAGAAGAAACTTAAGGACAATTTTCATACTGTGCTACTGTGTACTTAACCAGGGAGAAGTGAAGAAACACCAACCACTTCTTCCTGTAACAGAATTATTTCCTATTCTGATGACCCGCACAAATGATTTCTCAGAAGGTTGATTGGTTTGCTTTATTTTGGAAACTATTGGGTTAAACAAAGTTTTGGGTACCTTTTAGTAGAAGTTTTTGATCCTTTAATAGAGTAATAATGTATTATAAGAAGCTCTAGGCCAATATGCCTGTAATTGGGAGACAGAACCAGGAGATCACCTGAGGCCAGCTTGAGCAATGTGAGACCCTGTCTCTATAGAAAATACAAAAATTAGCCAGGTATAGTGGTGTGGGCCTGTAGTCCCAGCTACTTGGAAGGCTGAGGCAGGAGGATCACTTGACCCTAGGAGTTGGAGGGTGCAATGAACTCTGGCCATATCACTGCACTCTAGGCAATAATGTGAGACCCTGTCTCTTAAAAAAAATAAAAGAAAAGGCTCTAGTATATCATTCTCTTTCCCACCGTAATATTTTTCAATCAGCTGGTTCTAAGTCACTTCCTTGTTCACAGATGTTAGGCTGCCTTCTCCCTTTCTACTGACTCCCTTTAGAAGGTGATGCTCCTATAGAACTGTCTGCAATTAGATACCATAAAATTTTTTCTTAGCTTTCTGAACATCCCATACTTCTTCCACTCACGGTTTTCATTCAATATATATGTTGAAATTTATAGCAAGGAAAGAGCTTCAGAGCTTCAAGTCTCATAGGAGATTTGCTGAAATTTGTTGGCCTGTAGTGGTGAGCATACCTCTTTGTCTTGGTAGGGGGTGATGTCATCAGGGGAGAAGTTATTATGAAAACATTATTATATATAGATAATCAGTGACCAAATCTAGAAGCCACGAATGTGGCTTTGGGATCTAAGAGGAAGTGATCAGACCTCATACTGACCTATAAAAAAAAGGCCTAAAAGAATGGAGAATTCAGCTGGGTGTGGTGGCTCACGCCTATAATCCTACAACTCTGGCAGGCTGAGGTGGGTGGATTGCCTGAGCTCACAGGTTGGAGACCAACCTGAGCAAGAGCAAGATCCCATCTGTAAAAATAGCTGGTAGTTGTGGCAGGTGCCTGTAGTCCCAGCTACTCAGGAAGGCAAGAGTATTGCTTGAGCCCAAGGGTTGGAGGTTGCTGTGAGCTGTGATGCCACAGCACTCTACCAAGGGTGACAAATAAAAGAATGGAAAATTCAAACTGGGAAGCTAAATGTGAACCTGAAACTTGAGTCTTAAAAAATTGAGGGAAGGTTTCTAGGAATAAGCATATACTGTCTTTTTCCTCACAGAACAATATGAATCTTTTGTGAAATTCACACATGATCAGATTATGCGACGGTATGGGACAAGGCCAACAAGCTGTAAGTATTGCCAAGTTTTTCTTTGAATTTCCCAAGTTCCAAGAGCAAGGTTTCAACACTGGATATCTTGTCTCTTAAGAGCAAAAGAATTTATGTGCCTAGCATTGTGCTAAATCCTTCAAATCCTCACCAAAGCTTCTGTAATCCTCATGGCCACCCTATGAGGGAGAAACTATTTATAGGCCCATTTTACAGATTAGGATAGCATTTAAAGAGGTGAAATGATTTGCCCAAGCTCACATCCTAGTGATTGAACCAGGACTGAAACCTAGGTAGTCTAACTCTAGCACCATTTGTATATTTCCTATATTTTCTTCAGAAACATTTCTAATTGTTAATATATGAAGGTTGATTGCTTAAGTTAGTTTATCTAGTGTGTAGTTAGGAATTCTTATTCCAGGCCAGGCACAGTGGCTCATGGCTGTAATCCTAGCACTGTGGGAGGCCAAGACAGGTGGATTGCCCTGAGCTCACAGGTTTGACACTAGCCTGAGTAAGAGTGAGACCCC